ATTTTTAAAGTCTTTTTACACAATGGTACCAAATGCAAATGGATGAGACCACCTAAGTGAACAAAGACGTAGGTCAAGGACAGAACTCTGGGGCACAAAGGCCCAAGGCAGTGGTTAATGCCAATCTTCCCCTGACATACTCAAACCTACTTTTAACATCATGCATTCATTACTCCAAGACTTCTGCATACCTGTCCTTCAAAGGTGTGCTGAAATACAAATACAAACTCTCTTCTGTGCCCTAAAAGACTGAAATCTGCTCCACAATAGGCACCCCAGACCAGGAAAAAAGAGGGACAAGGGCTTCTCAGGGGTCCTGACTTCTGCCTTTTTCAACCTGGGAAGATCTACTTGTTTCCCACTAATCAAGGCAAGGGGGACAATAAGGCTGAGATAGCCATGTCCATGAGCTCAGCTTCTAGGACCAAGGCCGATAACAAAACTGGGTCATTAAACAGCCTAGAGCCCTTCCCTAGTCAACCTCTGGGCCTGCAGGCTCTTAGGGGAGTCTGAAATGTGAAACCTTTAGGTGACTTTACCAGTTGTTGGTAGGTTGATCCAGACTCATGACTACCCCATGTGTGTTAAAGTACAACTGTACTCCACAGAGTTTTCAATAACTGATGTTTTGGAAGTAGATCATCAGATCTTCTGAGGCACCTCAAACCTCCAACCTTTTGGTTATCAACTGAGTGTGTTAACCATTTGCACACCCTGGCACATTTTAGCACCTTTAAGTCACTTCAAAGAAACCAAATGCCCTTCTTGGGCCAGCAGTACAGAAATCAAGAAAGGCTATGTAGCTCTTCCTATAAATACGTAACAGTATTTCTCTCTGTAATTTTCCATAACCAGGGTCTGCCCTGCGGCCATGCAAACGAAGAATGGATCTACTACTGAAGAGCTAATTCTGGTTAACTAAGCTTAGAATGCGTACAATCAGAATCCAGTTTACTCAAAGAGCAAAGACCTAGCTGGAGGATGTCTAGAGCCCCTACACAGGGAAGCCACCTCAAAGAGTACTTCTTCCAAAGGAAGAGTCAGGGAGGGAGGGGCTACCTGAGTCCATAGTTCTTTCCTGTCCTACACTGTCTTTGTTTCCATGGCCAAGTCTCCACCTGTGGGACAGGAAAGACAGGTAAACATATAAGAACTGTTCACTGACAACGTGAGTCAAAAGCGCACTTCTATGAGGAGAGAGGTAACACTCACAGAAGGAAAGCATCTACACTTCCAGTGCAGTTTGACTCCCATACACTGAGAATCATGGGAGCACTGAGGGAGGTAGTGTCCAAAAGATGAGGACAGTGGGGCAGCTGGGAGTTGGTCTCCATTCCTTTTAGGAGCTTCCTTCTCTACTCATTTCTTCTTTGATTCTATACATAAAACTTTTCTTAATATTTTAATTACCATGCATACTCAAATGATGCTATCTCATAGGGTCATCAAATTCAAAACGTCCCAAACTAAATTTCTTATCTGCCCTCCCACCCCAACTACACCTCCTCTTTGTACTTCCAATTCTGAATGATGGCATGCCCTACATAGTAACCCAAGGCATTCTAGTTTTCCTCAATCCTGCTTCTGAAAGCTCTGAGATATATCTCCTTTCCCTCAATGTAACCACTACTCTAGATGGGGCCCTGACTTTTTAACTAAAATACTGCAAGTCTTCGAATAGGCCGTTCTAACTGCATCATATCCAAATTGTATATTGGAGCTTTTTGACAGTACATACCTGAATGTTACTTGAACCCTGGGTCTAAGCTCTCACAATCTGTGAGGTCTTTCATGACTTTGCTTCACTATCCCTCCAATCCTAGCTTTTCAATGTTACAATTTAATAGCGCTAAGAGCTTCGTCCGAACCCCACCCTGAACCCTTGCTATTTCAGATCACAGTGCCTTTCCTAGAACTCCTTTCACTTCACAAGAAACCCCAAGTATCCGTTATTATTGCAGTTGCTGACGTCTGCTAGTTTTGAAGCAAAACTCACCCAATGAGCCAGGAAGGGTAAACTGGGAAATAACTGACAGGGTTGGATGCTCCTACAGGTAGTGATCCCACACAAGCGAGTTCTGGTGAAGGAAGGTTCTAAAGCAGAGGGTGGGGTTGTTGTTGTTGTTAGGTGCCATTAAGTCGGTACCAACTCAGCGACCTTATACACAGCAGAACGAAACACTGCCCGATCCTGGGCCAATCTCACTTGAGTCCATCGATGCTGCCACTTGGCCAATCCATCTCATTGGG